TTTTATATGCACAAATCCCTTTCATAAAAAAATAAAATAAAAAAATAAATAAATCTCCATAGACACGCATGCCAGACAAGGGTTAATACATCTTCCGTTTCAAATTTTGACACCCCCACCTTTCCCTGACTTGACATCTATGAAAGTAACTCTATACTGATACTTATTATGAACACCCAGCACACGCCTACCCAATTTAAACAATTCGCCCTAGCTGTTACCATGGAAATTTTGATTTCAATTATTAAAACACGTAAATTTCAGAAATACGTTATTCCAAAAAAAAAATTCGCCTGAAGATGGAACAGAGCTTATTTTAACTCAATTTAATTCAAATAATTATATTGAAGTTTTCGGCTCTTGTTTTGAAACATGAGACCTCTTATGTCGCGAATTGGAATCATATTTTTAAATAAATAATTATATTTATGCTCTACTTTTGTATCGAGCACTATTTTTAAAAAATAATAACTAAAATACTAAGGAACTTTGGATTATTTACCTAACCAGTTCCTTCCTATTTTCTATATATTTTCACACACACACACACACACACACACACACACATATATATATATATATATATATATATATATATATATATATAACTAAAATCTTTCTTTTTCTTCGTATGCAGTTTCCTAAGTTCATAGTGAGTTACACCTGAATATAATTTATTCAAGATTTTAGGATGACTCTCAGTTTTGAAACCCAAGTCGTTCCTGTATATATATATATATATATATATATATATATATATATATATATATATATATACTTTGTATGTGTTGCCTCCTCTTTCTTCAGAAAACTGTCGGCCTGTCTTATGTGAAGGGGTTATCAGAGAAAATACAAAGGATCTGCGCTCCTTACAACATCAGGACAACCTTCAAAAGCTGAACGACTCTTCGTAGATATCTTTCCCGTGTAAGACTTTCCGTGGAGAAGAAGATGACTCAAGACACCATCCCGTACAGATGCGGAAAGAAATATAAAGAGGAGACAGACCGTCCCCTTAAGGTAAGGCTTCAAGAACAGTAGAAGCCTCTAACTTGAGGGGAAGTGGAAAAATCAAGCGTGGCTGACCACATATGGGGAGAGAAGGGAGATCACCGCCCTCTGTGGGATCATGTTGAGATCATAGACAAAGAACACCATTGGAAAATTCGTAAACTTAAGGAATCAGTACATAAGCTAGGCCACAAAATCTGCCGAGCCGACCAAGCATAGAAATGAATACCTTATGGGAACCAGTAATAAGGAGTTCCAGAGAAAAGCGACATTAACAACGAAAATTGCAATATGAGCTCTGGTGAAAAAAAATGCAATGATAACAGGAAAAATTGCAATATGAGTACTGGTAAAAAAAGATTTGCTGAAGACATTAGATTTATAATACCCAGAAATTCAGACGCAGATGTCCTCAAAGATACATGGTACAATGGATAAAGGCGTTAGTTAGATCCAGTGATAGGACCCAAAGTGTGCGAGTTCAATACCCGTTTAAAACAGTGGAGAACTTGGAACTAGAACAGTCTACCCCAGCGAGCGAAATAAAGGGTTTAGTTCGACATTCTAACCACCTGAAGAAGCGTTGTGATGGTGACAAAGATGAGGACAATAATCCAAATAATGTAAATAGTGTACATAATACCTCATCTCAGAAATAGAGACAAATACCTATTTATCTATCTATCTAAGTTTCAATTTCAATCTTTACTTATGTATTAAGCTAGATACCTTAATATGTTCATATCTATCTGATTATCTATCTATCCGAGGTCCAATTTCATTCCTTACTTATGCATCAAGCTATCTTAATCTGTTCATATCTATCTATCTATCGATGTCAGTCTGTTCATATCTTTCTTTCTATCTCATCCTGTTCCTATCTATCTATGTAAGTCTGTTTCTATCTATCAATCTATGGTTTTTTTTTCTATCTATCTATCTAAGTCTGTTCCTATCTATGTATCTAGCTATCTCATTCTGTTCCTATCTATCTTGTAAGTTTGTTCCTATCCATCTATCTATCTCATTCTGTTCCTATCTATCTATGCAAGTATGTTCCTATCTATCTATCTATCTATCTATCTATCTATCTATCTATCTATCTCAGTATGTACCTATCTATCTATCAATCTCATTCTGTTCCTATCTATGTAAGTCTGTTCCTATCTATCTATCTATCTATCTATCTATCTATCTATCTCATTCTGTTCCTATCTATCTATCTATCTATCTATCTATCTATCTCATTCTGTTTCTATCTATTCATCTTCTATCTATCTATCTATCTATTCATCTATCTATCTATCTCTTCTGTTTCTATCTATCTATCTATCTATCTATCTATCTATCTATCTATCTATCTATCTATCTATCTCATTCTGTTTCTATCTATCTATCTATCTATCTCATTCTGTTTCTATCTATCTATCTTAGTCTTTTTTGTAAATGTCGATCTTCTTCAGTCTCTTTGTGTATCTCTGCACATTAATATTTGTAAATCAAACTCAATTCCGTGGAATTAACTCTTTTCATATTATTTTTTTCAACAAATCTTTGATCTTTTTATCCAATATACTCGCCTTATTCAGTGGCTACTAAAATCTCTTAATAGGTTCCTTACCGAGTGCAAATCTATATTTAATACTTTACAATAGCGACGCTATTCTTGGCAAAAATACTTTTTCCATATTTCAACGACATTTTATTTCAAGTCAAAACGAAATATTATTGTCAGAAAAACTCGGTACGAAAATATGAATTTATTCATTTTTTTTTCTAATCCTGTATTTATAAATATTTTTGCTTTTATAAATCCCAGTATATTTTTGCTCTATTTAAAATGTTTGGAACATCCAAAAAGAAAGAAAAAAATTAAACCCGCTTCTTAGAGTCTTCATATTAAAATGCATTAGCGCATTAACAAATCTAAGACGGAATTATTTTCAAAATAAGTAAATATGTGTCTGAATTTTCTTCATGGAAAACAAGTCCATTTTAACGAGATATCTTGAGATGTTTACATTATATCTTCTGCCGTAGATTTTGAATATATTGAGATAAATTAACATCTAAATGACGAAAAATGAAAATAACACTGACATTTCATTTGAAAATATATATATATATAATATATATATATATATATATATATATATATATATATATATATATATATATATATATATATATATATATATATATATATATATTGGACAATAAAAAATATTAAACAGATAAAATCTTCTGACACAATGGGTTGTATATTAATATACCTTCCTTTTTGTTATTATTTATTTATTTATTTGATTTAGATTCCTCGAGAAGTTTCGGCCAACATGGTCATCATCAGGAGAAAAATACTTTTCTGTTTGCTGGTAGCAGTGAACTACAGAAATGAATGTCTTGATGGAGAAAATGAACTTTTGTCTGAAGTTATTTGTTTTCGTTTTATATTTTTATTTTATTTTATTTTTTTAACATGAATTTTGGTCAGTCTTTGTGTTGGTCAAATAATCTCTTAAGTTGTTATTTTAGATAAGAACTGGATGGAAAGGCGATGTGTTTCTGTTAAGTGTGTGTATTATTTGGTTCTTAGGGGGTGAGTGAGTATGATGTGTATAAGCCTGTATATTACTATGGGTGGGTGTTATCATTTGGCTCATTAGGGCATGAGGATGATGTGTGTAAGTGTGTATATTCGTGTGAGTGTGTGTATAAGTGTGAGGCCTCAACACCTCCGTAAACATGTCTGTCTTGTGTGGGTGAGAAATGTGGGTAGGTTTTGATTTGTAGGGTTTTATATTAATACTATCTATATTGTTAAATATATGGTTAAGCGCGGCTGGATAGTGCGTGTTTTAACGTTGTATTCACTTATTTGCATGGAACTCTAAAATCCTCCTATATATATATATATATATATATATATATATATATATATATATATATATATATATATGAAGGATTTAATATATATATATATGAGGGATTTAATATATATATATATATATATATATATATATATATATAGAGAGAGAGAGAGAGAGAGATAGATAACTAGACTCGTTTCGAAAAACCTTCGAATTTTTGATTCGCTAATCAAATCAATCTCGAGGGAAAAAATGTTTTAAAAAAAGAAAGAGCTACAAACATGAACTTCTGCCGACAAAAAATGGCACAGATGCAGGTCTGAAGCCCAAAGAAAAAACCCCGATACGAGTAACAACTAACTAACAAAAGAGCTCAATACAACCGTAGAGCAGACCTGAGATACACCTTGTTGAGACAAACCTACCTAGGTTTCACCTAAACGGATTGTCAGGAAACTTTCCCGACGATCCGTTTAGGTAAAACCAGGTAGGTTTGTCCGGCTCACTAGGTGTATTGACGATCGCTAAAGCGTGAAACCCAGGATCACAAACTCACATCTATCCAACCAAATATTTTAGCTTTATCTCTGATATTGAGCGCTTTCTAATAAGTACCACGCATATAATATATAAATAATTATACATACTTATATTTATTGATATTTATATACACTTTTCACACACACACACACACACACACACATATATATATATATATAGGTAGGTCAAATCTTATGTGCTGGCGTGTGGCTGTCTGTTTTCTAGAAACTGATCTGACCCTCATACATCGACATCGACGGGAGAGTCGAGTATATATATATATATATATATATATATATATATATATATATATATATATATAAATCGATATTAAATTCGTCAAATTTTCTCAATTACAAAACGGCCCTTTAATTAAACGACAACATTCATACTTACACTTTCTCTAAATTCTGTTTTTATTTCCGGAGTTGTTTTTTTTCTGTTTTCCTTTTGAATTTGTAGGTCTGATGAATTGGATCGTATTTACGATTCCAATGGAATAAATTATGACCATGGAATATTAGTGTTTAAGCCTTTTTATTATATCCTTACTCTGTCCTGGACATTGAGTGAGTTCTACCTGGATTCTTCCTCTTGGAATTTTTATTCTAAATATATATATGTATCGGTATTTATATATTTCGCATACGTATGTATATTTACCACTAATATATATATATATATATATATATATATATATATATATATATATATATATATATATATATACTAATATTCACCAGATACAAGGACCAAAAAAGCTACTCATGCTACTGTGTGATGATGCATTAGCATTAAAAGGGGGAATGAGGTGATGTTTTTCGGGCGATACAGGAAAGATAACGGCTAACTCTAAACTTAAAAAGTTCAAGATTTAATTAGTGAATATTTCAGAGTTTAGTCGTAGACGTTGGAAAGAGTTGCAATAAACATTAGAAGGAACCGGAAGCCCAATTCTAAACAGGAAAAAAAGTATAAACCCCTCTCCTATTCAAACGAGAGCGGAGGAGTGTGAACCGGACGATAAGGATCTTACGTACACCTAATGAAGATAAAAATAAAAATAAATTAAGTTATAAATAGAATTACAATGTTTATGCGGAAAAGTTAGCGCTATTGATTTGGAGCCGAAAACCCGGTCCTAATCAGGAAAACAAGGAGATTGGCCGTTTTGAAGAACGCGCAACCGTCTCTTAATATCTGTTGTTCACGGATCCACCCTGGACCGGGGTGGTAGCATCCGCCAGGTTCCCAGCTATGGGCAAATATTGATTCCCCCTACAAACAAAGAAAAAACACTATGAAGGTATAACTGCACATTTTATAGTAAAAATATCTGCAATATTTTTTTACGTAAAAAAATTAGCAACAATATATTTTTATAGTAAAATTAGCAACAATACATTTTTTAGTAAAATTAACCACAATACATTTTTATAGTAAAATTAGCAACGATACATTTTTATAGTAAAATTAGCAACGATACATTTTTATAGTAAAATTAGCAACGATACATTTTTATAGTAAAATTAACAATACATTTTTATAGTAAATTATCAACAGTACATTTTTATAGTAAAATTAGCAACAATATATTTAAAATTAGCAACAATATATTTTCATAGTAAAATTAGCAACGATACATTTTTATAGTAAAATTACAAACAATATATTTTTATAGTAAAATTAGCAACAATACATTGTATCTGTAGCTGAAGACATACAATTGCGTTTAAAATATTTAGATTTCGTCATGAATAACCGATAATGTTTGATAATCCGCTAAACAAAATCAATCTAAGTTTCAAATGAAGAAATACATATTATGTCTTTCATCTTTAACTTTATAATTTAAAAACATTTAAAATTCACAATCCACACATCAAACATATGTAAAAATAACATGTAGATACTTTTTTTTTTTACTAATCTTTACCAAATACAAGGTCTCAAGGTAGAGCATTTCTGTGTGGTGTTATATTAGCATAAAAAAGGACAAACGTTCGGAGTATAGAGTTGAAGCAGACATTAGAAGGAACCGAAAACCCAATCCTAAACAGGAAAAAGAGATAAACCTCAAATCCTGTTCAAAAGACCAGGGAGGAGTGTGAACCGGACGATAGACGATCCTATTTACTCCTATTCGGTGAGGAAAACATAATAATTACAGAATACAATTTTAGAGTTCAGGTGGAGCTGTCAGAAGTACAGAGTTGAAGGAACTGGAAGCCTAATCCTAAAAGAGGAAACAGCCTCTACTCCTGTTCGAAAGCCCGGGGAGGAGTATGAACCGAACGATATGCGAACCTGTCTATGTCTATTGGTGAAGGAGAGAAAAAATATAGAATGTAAATTAAAATAAATAATTAGTGAACATTCGAAGTACAGAGCTGAAGCAGATTTTGACGGAACCTTAAACCCAATCCTAAACATGGGAGGAGTGTGAACCGGACGATAGACGAACCTATCTACACATATTCGGAGAGGAAATAATATTAATTACAGAATAAAATGTTAGAGTTCAGAAATAGAGAGTTGAAGGAACTGGAAGCCCAATTCTAAAAGAGAAAACAGGGAATAAACCTCTACTCCTGTTGGAAAGACCGGGCAGGAGAGTGAATTGGGCGATAGGCGAACCTATCTACTCATTTTGGGAGAGGTAAAATTAATAATAACAGAATAAAATTTCAGAGTTCAAGTGGAGCTGTCAGAAGAAAAGTGTTGAAGGAACTGGAAACCCAATTCTGAACAGAAAACAAGAGACAAATATCTAGTTTTGTTGAAAAACTTATATATATATATATATATATATATATATATATATATATATATATGTGTGTGTGTGTGTGTGTGTGTGTGTGTAAGTTTTTGAACAGGAGTAGATGTTTATATATATATATATATATATATATATATATATATATATATATATATATATATGCCTGTGTCTGTGTCCGTGTGTGTGTGTGTGCATAATTTTTGAACAGGAGTAGATGTTTATATATATATATATATATATATATATGTATATGTCTGTGTCTGTGTGTGTGTACACTTTTTTGAATAGGAGTAGATGCTT